TAGAAACAATTCCTTAGAATTCAGATTAATTTTAAATACTAAATCCAAATTAATGTAAATATGAATTGCTGTTGAATTTACTCATGTAATTTGGCTAATATCTACAAATTTTTTTTCAGTTAATACCATATGAAATATCACAGTGATCTTTTTTGTCATTTTTAATGGTACATGTTTGTGTGGACCTTCATCAAGGTTTATGAAGTTAATCAAAGTAGTTTTCAGTGTATTTTGGCAGCAACTGTTGTAGATGTAACTTCAGAGCAAAGGTTCTGAAGACTGCTAAGGAATTGGTAATTCTTAATGTATTTGAGCATTTTGTCATCACCTGTGTTTTATTTAAACACTTCTTTTGATGCTGAAAATCTGGTGACAAGTTTCCTCTGAGAGAGGGTCTGTGTACAAACAAGTGGTTCTTTGATTTGAGTATTGTTCCAGTAGAGATAACAGGATCTTTGCTGTTGGAAGCAGATTGGACCTTTTGTTTACAACTCACTTTGCAAATCCAGAACAAATAATCTTATATGAGGATTTATTTTCATTGGAAAATGTGGAACAGTAATGACCAGGCTGTGATTATCTTTGATTTAGGACAATGACAGCAAGGTACTGAAAGCGTATTTTCTTACAGGCTCTAGTTTGAGCCATCATCCTTATATTTGATTGCAGCTGTTTTCTAGGGGTAGGCAACCTTAAAAGACTGGGGCCAAGGCCTTCCCTCAAATTTTGGTTGTCCATGCTTGGTGTCCTATTGTTGCTTTGCAAATCCCCAGCCCAGGCCAACGCCATGCTACAACTACATGTCAGGATGACATCCAAGCACATCTTTCTCTTCTTTCACCCCTGTTGGCAGAGGAAACCTGAGTCTATGAACTGGGAGAGACTGCAAGGTGTTTGGTCCCCTGCGCTGGAGAATGGATGGAGTGGGCTGTAAGTCCATCACAGACTGTTCCTGCCCTACAACATAAGCATAATTATCCTAGTGCATCTGAAGAGGGACTCTGAAGGGGATGGGTATCATTCTTCCTGAGCAGAGGAGCGGTTGGGACACTAGTCTGCATCTTAAAATCATAGCCTCACACTAAGAGGTTTAAAGCCCGTAATAAAGGTATTAATTACACCATCAAATTTTATAACCATTCCTAAGACCTTTATCCTCTCTGACGTCTGATGAGAGAGTGCATGCTGTCTGGGGCTGTGATTAGCTTACAAAAAGGAGAGATTAGGGTATTAGCCATTACAGAGCAGATGGATCATTACACAGAATCTTAAGTGAAGAAATAAATATTCTAAGTAAGTCATGTTTGGAAGATACAAAATATTTAAATAAAGATTTAAATACCTGTGGAGATTAACAATGATACAGCTTTACGGTATGACAATATACACACCAGATGATGGAATGATGAATGTGTAAGGCTTGCACATGTTTTCTTGGTTCAAGAAAGCTCACTTGGTCATGATGGGTATTTCTACTGTTGGCCACTGAGCCTGCTGGCCACAGGAATCTTGTGCATGAATATCTGCAGTAGGAGACTGCAGTCAGTGACCCATCTACTCATTGCTGGTGATCTAGTATTCATACTGTGCTTTCTGTAATTATCAGTACTTTTAGGAATACAGAAATAATGAGTACGGTAGGGTTTTTGTTTGCTTTCTTTTTGAAATTGAAGTACAAAAAGGATGCAAATGTCAATCAAGTAATTTACAGATGTGGAAAAAATGACAGGCTTAGTTGAGTAACCAGCTTTTGACTTCACTAGGAAATTAGAAGTATTTAAACCCATATTTTTACAAAAAATGCCAACTAAAAATCATTACATTGTCTGTACTCCATAGTTTGATAGTTGGCTGGTTTTACACACTTGAGAGAGTTTTCTGGTCCCAGAGCAACTATTTTAATTGGCTTACTCTTTGATATTACACTGAAGGCAGTGCTATTAGCCTAGAATATGCTTAGAGTCTCAAAAAAACCCACATTTCACTTGCATTTTGTTACAAGTAAGACATTTCATTTGGAACAAGAATTAATGCAGATTATTTTAGAGAGAGGGCTGAACTGAGAACTGTAATCTGTCTCAGTAGGTGGTTGGATATGATGAAAAGGAGTTTCTTGCCTCTGAAAAAATCTTAAAATTACTCTGAATACGGTATTATTAAGGTGTGCTGTTTGTGTACTGTTCCATTGATTTTTGTATCTTAATATTTGCAACTTCTAGATGCTTTCTCTGCAAACTGCCTGGAAGTAGATAAAGCTTTCATCTGCTTGTAATGTGTTCCAGACTGTCTACGCTCCCACTGATACCTGTGCAAACTCATGACTACTAGACTGTATCACAAGGGGTTAAATATCTTAACATCTAGCACACAATAACTAAAATAATATTCCTGTGTCTGTCTGACTCAGGGAGCAGAGAATTCTGCAACTCCTGGGGCAGAAGCTGCAGGCATAACATCTCAGATTATGGTTGGAACTATGGATGTAGAGACACCTTTCCAAGAGTCATGTATACATCAGCAGAAAACCAGATTGTGGTATACAAGTGGCATAGAAGTCTCATGTTGTGAGACTCCAGGAGCTGCAAGTTCAGTCTGCAGATTTTTATTTCTTTCATTGATCTTGTCCATTTCTTGATTTCATTGTGCATTTTTCCTTTTTCTTTTTTTTTTCCAAACATGTCCCTGATGCTGTTTTCTCTGTTTCCCTTCTGATTTCTCTAGTGGTCTTTTCTATTAGTCTTCAGCAGGTCTGTTGTGAAACATACAATGCCCTTCTTTTTCTTCAGCAGCTCTTCTCTCCCACCTTTGTCTTGACTGTTATCGATTAGTCACATGCAAATTGTGTTCCAGAAACAGCCAGGTTTGTCGTATTCAAACGTACTGTTTTGGTGTATTCAATAGAAATCACACACTATTAGATATTATCTCCGAAGGCTTCTAACCAAGTAATGCCTACACAGATACAGCTTATATTGCTTACATGATGAATATTTATCTGTGTACCATGAGCTTTTTCTACACTAAATGTTTTGTGTAGTATTTATTACTGATGCTCAACATAAAAGTGATTGAAAAGATGAAATAAATAATGCTGAAATTGTCTCACAATTCCATATCTGAAAGTAATACCCAGAGATAATGACTCTTTAATAGTTGGAGTGAGGCTTTTAGTCCTTGGTAGATTTCTTGCTCTATCAAGGATTGTTTTCTAGCACTGGCCTGGTTGTATATGCTTTGGAGGAATCCTGGGACTAAAGCACTCTTCATATTAGTCTGAAGGTATCTTAAGTGAAGATGAAGGTGATTTAAGTTTTAAACAGAAAACAAAAGTTAAAAACGTCAAGACTGGGCAACAGACCTACAACAAGCTCCAGCTGGGCTGACATGCATTGAGGAAAATCCCATCAGGTTAAAAATATAAACTTATTCCATCCATGGATTAAGTTTATATCTAATCCACTCATGTTCTGCCACATGGCACACTACCTACACACATAAATGGTGTGAGAATGAGTACTTCCTTTCCATCCATTTTTACAGTTCTGAACTGAAACAAATCTAGAAGAAATGTGCAAACATTTTTCAAACACATAATACCAGTTGGTTATCTGCACACTAATGTTTCTGGAGATACAAATCCATCAAACTAAGAACAGTCCATGATTCATACCAGTGATCAGTGCAGGTCAGTTAATTCACTCTCCAGAATTATCTCTGCTGATTTCAGTATGTAAAGCCTACCTCTATTTAATGCTATATATTTATATATCTGGTTTGTCTCTAAAATGACTTACATATCTATCATTCATGACATACAAACTCATTCTTTTGGGAGTCTTCTGAAACCTGCTTCTTACTGAATATGTACTTTCAGTATTGAACCTTCATTGAAAATTGTAAAGCTTGCAATAAATTTTAAGATGTTTGATTAGATCAGCAGGAGACAGACTCTTCAGAAGCATTATCTGTTGAGTAAGATTAAGGCAAATGCACATTTAGCACTCCTGTGCAAACAGAAATCCAGTCTTACTCTCCTGAACAAACTGCAGTCGAAATCCAATCACTGGTATCGTATTTAAGATGAAGTTGCCTTCTAGCAATTTTCCTGTTACAACTTTATTATGTTTAAAGAGATGAAGAATTACTTGAAGCCACTACTGTGGTTTTTTTGTTGTTTTTAATTCCATTACCCATAAATACAGTTCGGCATTGGCCACTTGCAGCTGGATGAGTGAAAGAGGAGCATGTAAAAAAAGCGGCTGTCAGTAGCATTTGCCTTTCCTCATTTTCTTCATTCCAGCATAGCCAGGCCATAAATAGATCATTAGCAAGAAAATAGCCTGAAGCTGTTGTAGAAAACATTTGTCTGTAGCCTCGCTGGAAGCAAGGGCATCAACCAAACATTGCAGATTGTACATCTCCTGTGCGTGCTCTTGTCTTGGCCAGTTCTAGGTGAAAGCTTTAAGATGGGAAGAGATGTGGAGCTCTGTGCTTTTCACAGATTCTTCTTGGCCAGGGGTTTGCAAGTAAAGACTACTTTAACCCTCCAGTGATTTATGCGAGATAAGGGGACTTTAAAGTTTTGCAGTGCTTGTAAGAGGTCAGACTCCAGCCTAAACTAGAGTCAACATTGCATAAAATACAATAGATAACAAGCACCCTAAAAACATTCAATTCAAATCTGTTTTTCCCTTTTCCTTGTAGGATTTTGCAAGAACGTTGTCTCATTGCTCCTATCCTCCTTATGGTTTATTGTATTTTAAAAAAGAGACAGCATATCTAATTATTTGTTTAATGGAAAATGCACATACAAAAGCTAAAAGCGATTACGTACAACAGCTAAGAGTGATGACATTGACGTAAACAAATGTAAGATACAAGAGCTCTGGTAAGCTAAATATTAGCCTTACAATTAGAGAGTTGCTAACTTAATTTTAATTATGTTGTTAATGAGACGATAGAATTCATGTAAATATAAAGACAAGTTCTAATTTTCCTTTTCAAAAATCATCTAGAATCGGGTAAATGAAGTTGTCTTTGAACAAGCAGTATGCCAAGATCTGTCCTCCACAAATCATTGAAATTACTCCAGATCCTGAAAGAAAATATATGACTGGTTTACATTAATTTTTATAGCAGAATACAGATGTTATGATAAAACCTTAAAAAGGCATCCTCTTTATCTTCAGTTTTTTAAAAATGGCCTGTCTAGTTAAACATTTTGCCCAAGACTTTAAGCACCTACAAAGGTATCAGCCCCAGCAGCTGCTGATGCAAAACCAGTTTTAGGACAGGGAATTTATTTGCCTGTCCCCATCATTTAGGAATTTACTGCAGATGTCGATGCTTGTTATCCATCATATAAGAAAGACCAGAAGATAGCCTTTTTCCCTTAACTATTTTTCAAGATAATATATTCTAGTACAAAGCTATGCTTTTAATTTTGCAGAAAATTAAATGTTCAGAAATACAGGTTTGCTATTCACAGTAAGGAAATGTGATGACTGGGATTTATCTTAGTTGTCATAAGTACCTATGCATAGTATTTTTAAAAGTTGCCTCTGAAGGTGCCTGTTTCTTTCTGTTGATTAAAAGGGGTACCAAAGAAGATTTGTTTGGACAACTGCCTTTCCAACACCTGAATAAAGTGAGATAGTTTGATTAGTCAGGGCTTAATCATGATTTATTTCAAGAATGTGAGTGTATCTGCTGTTCATTAGCTAGATTAACATAAACTGAGTACATTCTGGTCTTAAAACAGAATATTTTTTTAGGCAAGGCAAACATTAGCCCATCGTTACTTCCCTGTGTCATTAAAAGAGGTGTAAATGAAAATCTATTCTTTAAATTAGATATATGCTATATCATATATTAATTCTCAAATTAGTGAGACAACAGACATTTAATAGAAATAATTCATAATGTAAATACTAGTTTTCTAGACAGAGTCTATCAATTTAAACTTTGAAGAATGTCATTATACCTAATGCCAGCCACCAGTGTAACATCAGGGGGAATTCAGACATAACTGCAAGGAGAAGAAAAGGAGAAATGTAAATTGTTAAACAATAAGGATGGGAGCATGCAAGTATTACATTAAGTTTTCAAAGGTCTGCTAAGTTATGTTTTGTAAATTATATGCTTCACATTTATTGAAATTGCAAATGCATATTTAGGTCCTGATGTCCTGATCATTCAGATACTCAGTCGGGCATACCATTAAGCTTAGCCTGGTGAGCAATCCCACTGGAAGTCAACTCTTAAATCTAGTAAGTGTGTGCTAAACAGACCTCTTCGACTCTGTGGAAGAAACGCCTTTTTTATTACTTACTTGTACACAATTTAGCACAACAGAGACATCGATCCTCTGGTAGAGTACCTACATATTGCTGCAATCCAAATATATTAAGGTGCCTGGCATTTTCAGTTTAATGGGTGATGCAGTGCATGACAGACAGGCGGGGGCTGCACACCACAAGTTAGCACTATTTCACGGTATGCTCTCTCCTGTGTTAGGCACTGCCCTTGCCTCACACAAACTGACCCACATTCCCACTGTATAATCAACTGCATGACCCAGTATTGTGGCCCTCCCCTCCCCCCCCAAAAAAAAAGCTGACAGGACTGTAGAGCTAGTAAAGTAGGCTGGCAGCTCAGCTGGCCAGCAGCGATCTGGTTGGCAATCTGAAAGAGACAATAACAAACCTGGGGTTGTTTGGACATCAAGATGCATTATCTAATATAATGCTGGAAGATACCTTCCTGCATAAGTTATATACAAAGTGGCTTTTGTTGTATTTTTTTGTAATTTCTTAATTGAAATGCTAAAGTTATTCATAAGGAGTAAGAGTAGTTTAAAATCCAGGAAAAAAAAATCAGTAGATGAGAAATTATGCTTAATTTTTTAGATGAAGCCTCTGTTGGTCTCCAGCTTAACTGGGGAATCTCCATCATGCAAAATGCTAAAAGACAAATTGATAAAGCATTGAAAAATGGAAGATTAATTATTAGATAGTAGGGAGAGAGTCCTAATTTGCCACTAATATTTTTTTCTATTTCTAAATTCTACAGTAAATACACTGAGCTCATTGTTACAGGAGAAAAGGATCCCTAAATGAGCTCTGGCAAGGATGGTGTTAAAATATATTTCCTAATCAGCTATAGCAGCATTCTGATAAACAGCATGAGAAGAGGGAGCAGGTTACCAGGTGCTGGCAAAAAGTGTTGAGTCTCATTTACAGCAGCCAATTCTTTTCCTTTTCTTTCCTTTGAGGGAAAGAGGCAAAAAAAGATGCTTCAATGGTAAAATGCTTAATTTTCCTCAATCAGATTTAGTTCAAATGATCTAACTTAAAAACTTTGAATTGGCTTTGCTGCAGCAAGCCTCGTTTTTACTCTGAACTAGAGCTGAAGTGTTAATGAGTAGTTCTTAAAGTGTCAGGACATGGACAGCTATTAGTTTCTTGGGTTAGAGAAAAACACACCTCCCAGAAGCTGAAATTCTATCTAGGCTGGATGTATTTGATATGAACTGCTACTGCTAGATTATGAACTAAAACTCTGAATTTCTTATAAGAAACTAGTGTTTTAAAATTCTGCAGCAAAACCAGAATTGAGTTTTAAATGGCAGGATTTAAATTCATGCATGAGTCAAATGGATGGAAATTAGAGATACATATTTATTTAGTGTTAAGGAAAAATTAGGTTAGTCCAGTAATACAGTAAATGAATCATAGTTGACTGGTTCTTCAATTTGTGATACTAGGTATATATTTAGCAGTCAACCTACTTACCAGCTGAAGTTATGATGATATGAATAATAGTAACTGTTACGGCATAATCCCAAACCCATTCTTCCACAACGAGGGCAAACAGCAGACCACAAACGAAGAAAGTTATTTCCAATGATATCACCAGAACTGTAAATGAAAATAGGATATTTAAAGCAAACACAGTTTTGAGATGCTTTTTCTTACATTCAAAATGATAGCAATAGGAAGTTAAAATGTCTGAGACGGTAATTAATTTTTTTACAAGATCAAATATTACACTAATGTCTTCATTATAAAGTTCATTACTAATTTTGCTACAGACATCTGCATGAGTTGTATCCTGATTTGCCTATAGACTTTCAGATGTTCTATGCTTTATGTAAAAATGAAAGGATTAAGAGCATTATAGCCTGTTTCTATAGCCTAGAGGAGAAACAGCGTGGAAATTTCACTCATGAACCCTCCACACTGTTTGAATTATGGTGTCAAATAGATTTAGCTGATAGTGACTTAGATAAAATTTTTCTCATCCAAACCAGAATTGTGTGGTTAACAGATTGTTTGGTATGACACTTCATAGCTTTCCTCCTGTTGACTTAATGGCATCATTTATGACATATACCAGAATATATAGAGATATATATCAGAACAATTATAACAATTAAGACATGCAAGAGGAGATAGAGCAGAGACACTACAAGGTGAGTAGAGGCCATCCATCTGTATTAATTTCATGGTACGTACAACCAGGAGCCTGGCTTTTCTCAGTGCTGGCATAGGTACCATGCTGTTCACTGTGCCCGGTGTTCAGCAGCTAGCTTTGTGTTGTGTTAAACCATAAATGAGCATTACTGGCAAAGTGATAACAACTACATTATGTTGTCAAAAGAGACCATTAAAGTTATCTGATCAAGAAAATTCCTTCTCTCAGTGACAAAACAGTGCATTTCTGCACTCTGTTTTTTCCTCTAGAGTGTGCCAAGCCATGTGGTGCCACCAGCCTGTATCAGTCACCTCCCCTGATATGGGCACAGCTCTGCAAAAGCAGTGGCAGGGCAAGCTGTGCCTCCCCCATAGGCAGGAGAACAGTCTGGAAGGCACAGAGCAGTGACATGGGGAATGGTGAGGAACCTCACATGGCTTTTGATGAACTGTATTCTTTGACACAGTGATGAAGTGGTGCTTAGCTTGTTTTACTTGCTAAGCACCATGTAACGGTGCTTACATGGTATCAAACATTAATGGGATCAAACATAATTACTTTCAGGGGAAAGTTTGACTTTATGCTGGGTCGCTACCTGGGTAGCAGGGGGTTAAATTTAAAATGTGTGATTTCTCTTCTAGCTGCATGAGTTCCCATACAACAGGCCATAATAGTGCATTTGTAATTCTTATGATTTTCCATGTAAATGCATTTTGTTGTTTTTCAGTACACAGGCATACAGAAGTCATATTTTTAATAGTTCTTTTTTTTTACTGTTACAGTAATGTAATATCTAAGATTACTGTAGTTGAGTAAAGAGGCCATCGTTATTTTTCAACCCTGTATTTAATTTATACATTTGGCAGCATTTTGTGCTTTCAATTTTATTCTTTTCTTTATAGGGTCAATTAGTGCCTACTGTATTATAGATCTGTCACCCAACAGTTTAAAATAATGAAAAAAAAAAAAAAAGAAAAAGGTAACTGGAAAAAACACATAGTTGGGAAAGTGGGAAATAATGCTGCAAAAAATCTAATGTTTAACAATGCATTTTAGTATTTTTAGTTTATTTCATTTCATTATGACAGTATTCCTTTAAATTATGCCAATAATTTTACAATTTAGAAAGTCTGCATAGTGTAGACAGCTGCTGTGTAAACTTTTTACAAAACTGGGTCAATAACGACACCTCAGTTCTCAGCTGACTTAATTTTTATTTTGAGGTTATCTTTTAAATACATAATTTTGTTTTTAACAGGCACAAGTGAGAATCTTGAGTAAACTAATTCTCATTTGCAATATCATTCAGAGACCTTTACTCTGTCTCTATGCCCATAGACTTTAAACAGATCCTGTTATGTTCTGCTATTCCATGTTATTTCATTGGGTGGACAGAAGGGAGGGTGGAATACTAACCAGTCACATGAAATTGTTGCTCTCTTTGGCATCAGACTGCTGCATCAAACTAGCCGATAAAATTCTTGTGGGGAAAAAATTAATACTGAGATACAGTAACTACATCAGGGCCCTTAAAAGTTATTCTAATTGAATATGATTTAATTTTCTTTTCCACTGCTGCAACTAAAATGGTCTTTTTTCCTCTGAAATCAGAATTGACAATGTACAAATATCCATGCATTTCTATTACTCCTTTTAACTTAATGAACTAACCAATTTGCATTTGAGCTTTACTTTCTTTACTGATAGATGATGTGGTTTGCCTTTGTAAAGGAGATTACAAATCTGGTAAAATTTAATGCTGAGAACTTCAGACAAAAATGCATACATTTTTATAACGATATATAAATTTATGCTTAGGGTTTGAGCTATAATAAAACCCTGAAATTTTAATGCCCAGTGTATTAGGCATTACCAAAGCAAAATTTCCATTAGTTGAATGTATCCTGGATCTGGATCTAGTGATTTATAAGAAATTTGCTGCAGTGTGAAAAGTAAATTTGCAACTCTGTGAAAGAACTTTACAGAAAATAGGTAATTGTTCTACAATGAAAAGGAAGCATCCTGGCAAGGCAGCAAGTTTTCTTCAGATGATGCAAGATCAGAAGAACCACTCAAGGAAAAGTCTAACAATCACTTGAATGACAACTAGCAATACAGAAATGAGAACTGCTGGCAAGATAAATAAGCGTTTAAATTCAGTGTAGTTGAAATACAGAAATCATTAGTATTACTAAACCAACTTTAAAATACTGTCCATAACAAAGACAAGTTTACATCCACATACAATCTATTTTCTTGACTGAAGCGGGGGGGGGGGGGGGGGAAGAGAAAAAAACTTAAGTTACCTAAATAATAGGGGTTAATCCATGAGGGATTTGTCTTAAAATCAAAAGGTGCCAAACCATCCAACATTTTAATCCTGTGAAAATAAAATGTATAAATTTAGCCAGAGATTTTTAGTAATGCCTTAGTGATTATATGACATACGGGTACTTTTAAATATGATTTCAAATAGAAAACTCTGGGCTTTTACAAGCTTAGTCCCATTCTGTGTTGCGGTCTTGCCCTTGCCCACTTTTATTTACAATGTTTGGCATTATATGTGCTCATCAGTAACTTCCCAAGGGAATATAATTTGTATTTTTATCAACTATAAAACCTTTCTTTTCCTTTTTTCATGTCATCTTTTCTCCTACATTCATTTATTTACATGGTGCAAGTGCTAGGAAGTATATTAGATCCAGCATTTTGTATTAGTTTTGAGTCTCTGTTTGCCAATTAGTGAATTTGAAAGAAGTTTCAGGTACAATTTAACTGAATTTGAAAAATATGTTCACAGAGTAACTGGGACTGGATGTCTCCAGTCCAGAAGCTTCCTTTGAACAGTCATAGCTCTGCCCATCATATCCAGTTGCAGTATACCAGCGTATTAGACTAAACACATGGAAATCTCACCTGAATACTGCGAAGCATACAGATAGGACCACATAGTACACAGTGTAGAAAACTACCATGCATATCAACAGGTTAACCAGAACAACCTGCAAAAGAGAAAGACAGTAAAATCTAATGTCATGTTCACATCAAATATGTGATTGTCATAAAATAATTCCAGATTTCTATCAATCGTAATGTGGGGGAAAAAATAAAATGGACACATTTTTTTGCTGTTGCTGACTATATGCAAGTTACTAAAGCTCTTTGGTGCATTTCAGTGCCTAATGTGTGGCTATAATGCATAGCTCTATGTTTTTATCAAGTATTACAGGACAAAAAACACTCGTATCCTTTTTCTTGGCATCTTTTTTTTTTCTGCTCTTTGCATGAGAAAGTAAGCCCTTTCTCACTAAATATCTAGAGCCTCTTGTGGAATGAGGGAGTGCAAAGCCCAGAGAAGTGGTGGAGTTACCATCCCTGGAGGTATATAACGGAAGTATAGATGTGGTGCTTAGGGCCATGGTTTAGTGGTGGACTTGGCAGTGCTGGGTTAACAGTTGGGCTCGATCTTAATGTCTTTTACAACCAAAATTATTTTGTAATTCTATGATTATTGTATGCCAACTACTTACTGAATTTATAAATGTTCAGAAAACGAGGACATTTTGTGACAGTTATTACACAGGAGACCTTGAAAGTGTAAGTTCATTCAGATGTTTAAATAAAGCTAGTTTTAACTTAAAAGAAATGCCATCCATGCAAGTATGTTGAAATTGTACGCAAATAATGTAGAAAATTGTAAAGCAGTAACTGTTAAGTTTCCCATCATCTAGAAAATGCACCCTGTACTTACTTCCAAAGATAAGGGTGTAGGCAATTTATATCAGTAATGAGGGATTTCTGTTAAATATTTTTCAAAGTTTAATTGTTCATGAATTTATTCTAAATAAATTCCAACTCCAAATTTAAAATATACCCCTAAAAATGTAAGTTTCATAAAGAAACCACTATCTTATGATCCATTACTGTCTTTTTAATAAAAGAGAAACACTGTATAATTATATAAAGGATGTATATTTGCTATGATATCTTGCTATCATTATTTTTTTCATTCAATTTCAGTGTCTTCATTTCTAAACTGAAGTGTCAGAGGGAAAGCAGCCAGAGAGAAACCTGTAAGCTTTCACCTGGTAAAGTTCATAAAATGCCTTGAGATCCTTTCAAATGAAACATGATTCACACATCTCCAATCATCTAAGCTGGCTTCCTAAATTATGCAGACCCTAGGACTTGTGTTAATTCCTACAGGGATAATGTAAAACTATGTTTTGAAGGATAATATGTTTTGGTAATAACAACAGTCTTGCTAATGTGGAACACTTTTATTTCTGTTATTCTGTGATGTATCAATGACATTCCAGTTGTTTATTTGGGAGGATGTGTAGCTACATTTTGCTTTTTGATATTAAAGCATTCAAGTTTCTGTTTTAGGAGTAGGGTATTATATAAATTATTAGCCCAGGTACAGCACAATAATGAGTTAAGACTTTACTTGCTCTTCCTCCAGTTTGGCTATCAAATATTTGAAACTAGCAATGTGTGTTTACCTGGCTCATCTGGTAAGACCTCCATAGACCTCCAAATTATGATCCATTATGCAATAATGATCTAAAGGCAACATAATTACAATATGCAACATATAGTGATTCCATTATTTTGTAAATACACTTTGACATGTAAATATGGGCCCTAAGACTGCACACTTCTGTGTGTCCTGCAAGATCTTGCGCTGAATTTCCCCCAAGATCAAAGGAATTGAACTGACAGCATAGGAGTTTGGAAATTTTGCTGGTTTACAGGACTTCTTGCCTATGCTGATCAGAAATAAATTTCAAATGGAAAAATGAAAACTAAAACAATGAAATTTTCCAAGTACAGGTATTCATTTAGAAGTAAAGCCATGAAAAGCGACCCTGCATAATTGAAGTAGTAAAATATCAGAGACCTGATGCAATTTCTCAATGTATCAGAATGGTAAGTAAAGACTATGGACTGCATATAGTGAAGCATTATATCAATGCGAAAGATGCCAGTCTTTATCTCTTTGAATGTAACACCATATTTACAATGGGAATGACTTAGAAAAAATAGGTAACAACTAATAAAGGAATAGGATTCAATTCTGAAGAAAGGTAAAAGAAATCACATGTGTATAGGTTGGTTTCAGGGACCAAGATATTGGAAACGGTAATTGCATATTCAAACTAAACAGGAAGAGGAATTATTTGGAGGACAACTAATAATAAAGAAATGAAACCAAAATCCAAAACTATAAGTTACTGTGAAGTTTAAACAATCATTTCCATTTTGAAAAGTTCAAAAGAGACTTGCTCTTTTTATATATTTGCTATTATTCATGAATTTTTATCTAAATTGGTTATTGAGCGTCCCTATCATTGCTGTGGATTTTAAGGATAAAGTTGGATAATGTTCTTGACAACTGATTGAATATTAATAAAGGAAAAAAAAAGTTATAAAATATTTTTAAGTCCATATTTTTAAATAAAACGCAGTTGGCAGGTAAGATGGCAGTGAAAAATATAAAACACAAGCCAGCTCTAAAGTGCAATTTCCATTTTGACATGGTTTGCTATTTGTTGGTAAATGGAGCCCTTATTCAAAAAGCCAGTGACCCTGAAAAGGGCTGTAGATGAGCATTAGCTCATACTAACTTGTTTTTATGAGCTTCTTTTGCAATATTGTGACACAAAGCAAGCCCTTAAGACTCTGGGTTTTAAGGGGGGAGAAGACGAATAGAAACAAGGAAGAAGTATTACCTCTAAACACAGCACTGTGAAGACAAAGTGGCATTCAATTTGGTGCCAGCAATTTTTAAGGTAACTTAAAAAGTTAAGAAGGTGCAGAGAAGAGCCACTAAAGGGAGCTGATGGCTAGAGATGGCGTTGGGGTTTTTTTTTTTCATTAGGACTACAGCCCTAAAGAGGTCAATCTGTTTAGCTCTGAGGGCTGATTTGATTATGATGGATAAGTACCCTCACAGGCAGAAAATACCAGGCACTTAAGGGCTCTTTAATCTATCAGAAAAGCCACAAGAAGTAAACAGCTACAAGTTATAGCTAGACAAATTTGAAAGATGTGTGAAGTACATTTTTAATTGTAAAGGCAATTAGACAATGGAACAAACTGCCTTTGGAAATAAATAGTGCTTCAAAGAAAAACCAGATGCCTCTCTGGATGAAGCTTCACTCAAACATCTCTAAAGTTCGCTTCTGGTCTTAGTTATTTGAATGGCTGTGTTTTGGATAACATGTTTACAGAACCACCCAACATCGTCAGAAGTGTGGATACTGTGAATTCAGCAAAAGATTTATTTTTATATTGCTAAATACTGAAAAGTGCTGAATATTGAATAGTACATCTATGTCCTACAAAGAGAGAGAGAAGCTTTAATTTCTAATGCAATAGGAGAGAAATCCATCATGCCTGTACAACCAGATACTTGTCAATAAGTAAAAGTCTAGCACAGTTTTGCTTCTTTTCATACATCAAAATAAAGCCAAACAAAACCAGAACAGTTAAGCTCTTCAGCCAGGTTGGTCTGAGGGCTAAATACAGCTTTCCCGTTTCCACTGTCTTCATTCGTATTCTAAATTAAAATTGGCCAAATAACCCATTTGATCCCTTCTTTTCCACAGTGTAATCCATTGCTGCTGTAATGTTAATTGACTACAATGTGACATGCAATTTTGGCAGCCATGCTACCTCCTACCCACCTCAAAGTGTCTCTAAGCATTTGAAGTTGGCAGATTTTTGGTGGGCATAATTTTCACTCCCTTACTCTGAGCAGATGCACATTTCCTGCAATTCTTTATCCACTGCCCCTCCTCTAGCAACTGCCTCCTTGAAGCCTTATCTGTTCTCGATGTAGATTCGTACTGTAATAAAAGTGGTGAGACAGGACTGAAGTGAAAATCACAGAGCTGAAGGATGGCTGTGAGCTGATGACGAGTTGACCTCTAATTATAGTAGGTGAATTCCTACCCTCCCTTGAAGTCAGCAACAAACTTCCATTTGTGTTGAAGGCTCAGTATTTTGTTCTTTGTAGCCAAAATATTCTTAGTCCCTGTCCTAAGGATGTAGTCATGTATTAGGTATAGCATGCTTTGCTTAGCTGAGTAAACTAAGGAAATGCATGTAACATGAAAATGAAAACCCTTTGAAAATTTTCCAGCTGTATCACATCCTACTTCATTTTTTTTATTTCACTTTTCCACTGAAATTTGAACATACATTTTTAAAATCTCAGAATACTTTTTATTTTCAAACTCTTTTTCCCTTTCTAAATATTCAGGTATTTCAAAGCAAAAAACACAAGTTAAAAACTACAGGGTCATTTATTCAATGTTAACTTAAAGAAAAAATCTTAGGAAATCGCTAGTGTCATCAAATGTAGGATTTTATTAGACACTTCCAAGAATAATATCTCATAAATGGAACTATATCACATATTTTTAAATCCTTTTTATAAGATATATTTTGCAGTATTTCCTAGCAGCACTACAGTATAAAGTGTCCTTTATTTTGTGGTTTGTTGATTGTTTTTTTTAGGAAGAAAACATTGAAGAACACTCTGTAAGAATGAAAGGAACAGCTTTTTCAAGCCCCACAGTAGCTGTCTAATTCTCTAAATACTATCTGGTGACATACAACACTAAACAAACTCAATTCCCTTTACCTTGGTTTCAGCAGTTTTGACCTTGAGAGCCATGGACACATGATGAGTGAAAGGAAGTGCTGTTGCTATATTCCGTATGCCAACATCAAGCTGTTTTCCACCCAAAAAAACATTCTTATAGGTAAGTGTAGGACAGAGTGAGGTGAGTAGATTGGATTAAACTGAATTGAGACAGAAGCCATCTGTGAGCTAACTGTAAGCCGCTGAAGAGCAAACAGAAAATCCTACTAGCTTGTTTAATATTGGTACTTTTGTAGCTACAGTCAGCCAAAGCACATCTATAATATACCTTGCCTACTTAGAAACAAGATTATTAACATTATTTTCTACCTTCTATTTGCTTTTTTTCAGCAGTCATTTGATCGCAGTTCCTTGGTGTTATTATACTTTCCTACTTTTAATTAGTTTTACAAATTCTAATTCTATTTACTATGTAACATGTAAAGTGGTACATTCTTCACAATATTCTTTGATAATATTTATCTTCTGACTATCATTTTATTACATCAAGTATAATTCACATTAAATTAGGCATAAGCAGGTTAAGAAATGCTGGACTTCTGTTATGACTCTTCTTTTCCTGAATCGTATTTTGTTGCTTCAGTAGAAAGAATTTTAGTGTGCTTTAGAGCAGATCCAACTTCTACTGAGCAGTTCTTTAATGGATTCAAATTTGAGTTTTTACAGGCACATTATTTTTCAGTATGCTGTGTTATGGGGAAAAAGGAGGTCATACAAGGGAACATTTCTGAAACTGAACCAAGAATTAACTTTTTTTTTTTGCTGTCACTAACATAGTATGTGCAAGTTTCTTTAGTTTGGGGTTTTATTTAGGGGGTCTTTATGCCTTTTTAATCATACAAAATGAAAGTATCTGCTTTAAAATATAGTATGCACTCAGCAAACAAGTGCTTTCACTCATGGATTCCATATCTCCAGATTGTGAATACTGTCAGAGAAATTGCTTCCTGTGCAAAATGCTAGCATAACGATCTGTACATTAGTTAAGTCCTATTTTGAGGGCCGAAGTCATGTCAGAGGAATAGCCTGAAACAAAATTAAAAAACTAAATCAATTTGCTTAAACAGTTGCAATAGTCGTGAGTAGCAAATTAATGAAGAAAAATTTGCTTTAATAATTAAAAAAAAGATTTGAAAGGAACAAAAGGTTTCATTCAAAGAGCATCCTATCTACACAAAATATCAGCTGAAAACAGCCATGACCCAAAATTAATTCACATAAACTTTTTGCAGTAGCTCTAAGTAGCGAGATAATTGAAAAAGTAATGGATTGCATTAATCTAAGACCATTATTAAACAGAACAGAAGCTTACATTCACTGATTTACTTCTTCACAAAGAGTCAACTCAACTAGGCAAAGATTACGGATAAAACCAAAGTCACCAAGTTTGACTAAAATGTAATGGAAGCTGCAGGCATGGATTTGCTGAGGAGACAAAGAGGTTCCAATCTCATTGCACAGCTGAAAACTTTAAATACCGTAAGAGAAAGGATAATATTTCTGTTGCATCCTTGCTTCAAGATTGGAAACACCTGTGTTGTGGAAACCCAGTGAACAGCAGCAAATAAAAATTCAATTGGAAGAAACTGTTTGTGACCCAAAATACTGAATAAACCACTCAATAGTGAATGTTAACTGAAGAGATGTGTTGCTGTTAGCAGAATACCGAGATAATGAAATAATCACTTTTTGTATTTCTTCTTTACTTCAAATTCAGCAGAGGGAAACAGAAGAGAAGGTTTAATAGAGGTTAAAATAAATTATCTATTTTGGTTTCAAAATGATGTACTTTTAAACACAGACTATTTTCTGGAAGCATTATGCTGCAGATTTTTATTAAGACTATGAGAAAAAATAGTACTCCATTACTTTTCAACCCCTGGAGTTTATGCTGATTTGCCTTATAGAAACACTTAGGAAACAGTTACTTTGGTAGGGTATCAATATATTGCCCTCACATATTTGAGAACAGTTAATAAATACTGTTATTTGACATTTGGCTGTACCCATGTACTTTCTTTGCAGACATACGTAATGGACAAGATTCAAGAGACTGACAAAATTGTTGCAGAATGGAGAACTTGAAAGTGAAATTAAGGATACTTATATAGGGCTCTAGCTCTTTTTAAGAAACTGATTCTAGCCTTTAACACTACCCAGGCAATACCTAGTTCCTATGTGCTACCTGCGCCAAAACAAAAAGTCAATTTGTAATAATGAACTGTTAGAAAGATTTTATAAAACCTTCCTGCTAAGTTTGCTGGTTAAGCTTATCACATAGTTTGGGGATTTTTTAGGGTGTTCCCATTTAAGCCAACAATTTATGATGCTGTCAAATAGCTCTGCAAAAAAAATTAAGAACAATTTGAAGAACTGTATCATACAGGAATATTACATGGAAGTTAACAGGCAGTTTGTGTTGCTGTTGTGCTGATTGTTTGCACTACATCCCTGTGCCTTAAGAAGTAGAGCTAGACCCAGAATCATATTTCCTAGGTTATTCCAAAACATGAAAAGAAGATTTTAGATCAGGGAAATTACTAAAACCCAAGATATTTGGGTTCATTATCCTGGAATCTTTAAGAACATACAAAGATCAACAAACCGGATGCTGTCTGGGTTGCATGGTGAGACATTTTTAATTAACTGAAGGATGATGACATCAAAACATGTGTACTCTGTCTCCATCTGCTGATGGGGAGGAACTCTACTTACATTGTATGCAAGGATAGAAGAGCTTGGAAAAATAGTGGCCACTATTTTTGTTCTTTCACTGCAGTGCCTGGAAGACTGTCAATGCAGTGAAAGGAACTTGACGAAAATGCATCTTTAAAAGTAAAAAGCTCTACATTTCTTGACTGTTACTTGACTGTTCTTGAATGTGTTACAACTCTAGCAAATATAGCTTAATTGTATCCTATGAAAGACAGCCCCTACAGTTTCATGTAGATCATATATGCATTCTACAGCCTCAATATGACAGCTTGGCTCCCATATGGAAGGAGATAGAATTGTGTGAGGTCTACGCTCTACCTCCATGAGGATTAAAGCAATTGGGTTCTTTCCTTCTCTGCCACCTCAGTTGCAGATGGATAAATTTGGAGGGATGGGAAATCTGAGAATTAAGTGGAAGCAGGAATATGCCTTGAATATATCAATCTTCTATTATTATTATTATTAACAGTAATATGAGTTCCAAATTTTGTTGGATTGCTTTAGCGATGTCCTCATTCCTAATAATATAATGTAAAAGAGCTTTCCATCCAATTGATTAAACAAAAGAGGTGAATTTTAGGGACTTAAAGCTCCTGAAAAGTTGTCTCCTTGAATTTCCATGAACTCTAAAATGTTCATAATATTAAAAGAATTCAACTAAAAAAACCTTGGTATAATTCTTTCTGATTTTCAAATTGCAAATGAATTGTATTCTTTTAGAGATAATTAACCCCAATGAGCTACTTGTATCTGAGGAGCTGGCTTAGTTAATAGCAAAAATAGTAAACAACATCTTTTGTTTTGTTAACTGACACTGTTGGCTTTGTGAAGAAGTTTAACATAAAACTTAAGAGTACAGGCAAAGGAACCAATTTGGTAGGCTTTATTTACTCAAATTAGAAATTAATTTTATTGTTTGTGAATGGAGTGGGATTGATAGAACTGAAAATGAAGTCTTCTGTTTATCCAGAGAGAAGCTATAACACAATTGCTGCAATGTAAACTTTCCACCCTGGCCCCATTCTATGTCTGAGGACCAGTTTTAATTGTTTATATTTTAAAAAAATCAATATTTGGCCTTTCTGCTGAGAAACTTAATGTGCTGATTATCACCGCCTACATTTTGAAGATATTCTGGCATCTCCGCTAGTGTTAGTGGGAATTTTTGATGAGTACAGTGAAGCACTGAAAAATCACTTTAGTGCTAGGCCCATAAAAACTGACCCACAACTGCAAAATTGGTGCTACTGTTAGAAGAAAATATTATGCTGGATCAGTCTGAGAGAGGCAAGGCTGCTGCAGCTCCATATTCCCAGGTCCAAACAGTAGCATGGCTGAAATGTATTGCCAGTAAGCACACCCACACAGAGCATACATATACATCACATATGTGCATATGTATATATACACACATATACATGTATGTTACACAGATTACAGACAGGCACACAGAGTACTCACATGAACACAGACACTACCAGTGATCTCATCCTGCTCCTCTCCCTGGCTGAGAAGTTTGGAAACACTCTAGTGAGAAGATAGATCTATACACAAGTACAAGGTAGATCCCTCCAGTATCTGAGTCAGGCACTGTCTGCCAGTAGCTGGTCCTTGGATCCCAATCACCCAGTTGTTGAGACCTGGACATATGAGCCCCACTAGGCTGCAGATGTATTCCAGTTACTGGTCCAGACTCACACACAAAAAAGCACTTTTCCACACTTTTATCTCTCCAAATCACCTAAATCCCCCATTTTCCAGCCTTTATTTCCTCTGCTAAACATCCCATAACAAATTCTTGGCAATCCTCAAACCACTTTTCTCCTGTGTCCCATGTGTCCCACCCCCTTGGCCTGAGAGGTAATCCAAGGACTCATCTTGGGTTTCACACCTGGGCAACAGTGCTGAGGCTCTCCCGGTAAAAACCTGGAACAACACGGACAAGGTGTTTGCTCCTCAGGAGGCTGTAATTTGGATTCCTGCCTGCCATGGTGTGTCAGTGTCCCTCTAGGCTTGAAGAGATGAACCAATGGCTTTCCTCGATGGGCCTGGGAGCTGCCCATCATGATATTATTTGGGATCCTCCTCCAGCATTGTTTCTCTGCACTGTTTCATGAGACTGCAGATGGGCTGTTACCACATAACCTAACAGCTACCAAGCCTGGTTTTCCACTATTTGAAAAAGCCAGAATCTAGCTGACACAATATAGTGGGTGATTTTGGAATGGTTGAACATTTTATTGTTATCTATTTTATAAATGATTCAACTATAGTTTTTATACATTATGTGAAAGCTT